TTGGTCATCTTAGTCATCGTTAGGCGAATTTGAGCGTCAACATCCAACAGTAAGTAACTGTGACACTGTAGGGTTGATAGCAATGAGGGGTCTCTAAAAGTTGTGACTATAATTTTTTGCTCGTCAGGCCTGAAGATAGACAAAGTACCCCTGGTAAAAATTGGCGATAAGTGCTGCGTTTCAAAGTACCATAGGAATTCTTATAGCCGGCTAAAGAAGGCTACAGAAAATCATATAGCTGGCTGTAGAATGCGGAGAAAATCATACGGCCGGGCTGTGCGAAGCGATAAAAAATTATTCAGCTGGGCTATAGTTCCTATCGCCTGGCTGTTGCTTTTTCGCCATCGATTATAAAAGGCTTTAAGAAATTGTGTAGAAATTCGTGTGTTTAGGAAATCATTAAGTTTGATACGTAACCACTTTAATATTTACAAAACACACATTATAATTTCCTTTAGTACATATTTTTTTTCATCAATTAAAATGAGAATAATCCATACAGGGTGTGCAAACATTTCAAAATCATGAGTTGAATAACGCTAACTCCGCCAGATTAAATATTCTAAAACGAAGCGGAGCGGCGACGCACTGGCGCCTACAAACCTAACAGGGATACTTCACGCATTGCGCAACGCGTGAAGTATCCCTGTTAGGTTTGTAGGCGCCAATGCGCGTCTCGCGATGGCTGCCCGCCTGCCGCGCCGCAGCGTTCCACGGCGCTTGAAGCAACTATTTCACACCAGAGGTATTGCACAGTATCATACGAAACTGAAGGCGCTCTAATATATTAGGATTGGCAGGCATCCATCAAAAGTACGGAGCTTTCCTCGCAAAATAAATCAAGATATTACGGCCCAAAAAGAGAGCAGCAGTAGTCCAAAAACTCACCAAGTCCTAACATCCGTAATTAGTAACGTTTAGCATACACTTTATCGCCTGGCTGTTGCTTAATCGCCATCGGCTATAAAAGGCTGTAAGAAATTGTGTAGCCGGTTATAGAAGCTATTGGAAATCTTACAGCCGGCTGTAGGTCTATGGTGTTTTGGAACACAGATTCTACTGCCAATTTTTACCAGGGACCGGAAGGCTCACTACACATTTTTAAGTTGAAAACCATACAGGGTGATTCAAAAGCCCTTCTGCACCAGAGAGGCATCACCTTTGTAACGTTTGAACCAATTCAATTTTGTGTTCTCCTAGCTCAAAAGAACCGACTTTTAGGAACCTCCAAACTTTTAAAAGAATCCCTCTGAAAAGGACCTAAACCCCGAGAGGTCCTGTGGGCGGTGCAGGACGTTTGTATCATCCTGTATAAGTTAAATTCGTTGATTAATCCTTTAACATCCGGTTGGTAGTATCCTCCAGAGTGTGTTAAGAAGCTTCCCAATGGTTTTGAAGATCCGACGGAAGATGGTGGACACGAATCCAGATACTTTCCTCCACTACAGCTTCGCGATCCCTCGTATCGATTGATCTGCCATTTAACACTATGGAAAAGAATCGATAAACGGGGTGTTTGCTAGGAACACTTCAATAATCGATTCTTTACCATAGCTTCAAATGGGGAAATATCGATAATCGATCATTCGCCTCTGCACTACAGCTTCCTCTGTCCATTGACTGCGCCGCGGACGTCGCGTCGGGCGGGGACGCAGCAAGATGGAAAGCGGGAAGGAAGAGCTCATCTGTTCAATTATCGTCCGGCCAGTCGCACCGCTGCGGGCGGAGGTAGCCGACCGGAACTCGAGTTCTTCTGTATCGATATTTTCCCATTTAAGCTATGGCAAGGAATCGATTCCAATGCACACCCTGATAATCGATCCTTTCCCGTGGGTCCAGATGACAGATCAATCGATTCATCGGAAAACACGACATGCCACTGCCGCGCGGACCTCCGCTCTCGAGTAACTCACGCTGGTCGCTTTTCTCATCTCGCCGACCACAAACGGAACTTTCCCGAGCTCAATACTGCCGTGGTAAGGAAAAACGCCGTATGAGCCTTACAACGTTACCAAGTTTTTCCGATAAAAACCGAATTTAACGGAAACATTCTGAAGATAATTTACCAGAATTTTCAGACAACTTTGCACGCATTTTAATCTAAAATATCTGATATTTTCAAGGAAAAGTAGGCATGAATATTGTAAAAAATACATGTTTCATCAAGGGAAATTTGGCAACTCTAGAATGTTCATACGGCGTTCTTCCATAGCACGGCAGAATAATTGTAAATCAGAATCATTCAAAGGAGCTGTGGGCTGATTGTTGGAATGGACCACTAGCTAAGGTACGAAGTTAAGATGTCTGATACATGTTTCCTAACCAAAATTGAACGTAGAACATGATTCGTGCAACGAAAATTACTGGAATTGACTCCTAACCAAGATATTTAACGATTCTTGACGCGTGAATTCAAACCTCCCGTTCATGAAAACACAATGGTTTACGTACGTCATATCGCAAACTAAACTTTACCGTGGCAGTCTTTGATGCGATATACGAAAATATGGCAATCTCAATCTTGACGCTTCGGCTCAGCTATAGTAAATTGTTTACACTTTGAACAATAAAGAGTCGGAACAATGTTTGATCGACAAGCCTGCCAAAACCGTTGTAGTGCGCGATTTAACTCACATTGAGTATTGCGTTTTTTGTGACCGGGCAATTCAAATTTCGCCCATAACCAATGTAATTAGTCGTGTAAATCTTAGTTAGGAGTTGATTCCAGTAATTTTTGATGCAAGAATCGTGTTTTACGTGACATTTTGGTTAAGAAACATTTATCAGAATGCTTACATTCTTATTTTATTTGTCCAGTGATCCATATTGATAGACGACGGAGACGAAGGGAAAATAGAGGGATCCAGGATCCTATTGCTTGAAACGTGTGGTTGTTCAAGACTAAGGGGGAAGTGATGGACTAACTGCTGGGTCTCTCGGGGTTGCCGTTATGTGTCTATTACTCACCCCTTTGGTCCAGTCGGATCGCTTAATTTCACCTTTGTCTTTTTTGTCTATAGCTTTGTCTATCGATTTCAAGAATTATCCCTCTAAATGTATGTCTAGTAAGTACGCCTACGCGTTATTTTCAGCGGTCCCGCGGGTGTTGAGCAGGAAAGAGACCCTAGTTCCAAAAAACTGACAAGTAAAGGCATTGTTTCTATCTTTGAGAGTAGTATTCAACTAATAATCTGCCTCATAAAGTACTCGAAAAGGTGGATTCAGTCCCAAGTGTTGACGGTTTGAAGTATGTTGTTTAACAACCGTAGTTTCGAGAAAAACTTATTTAACACGAAGATAGCAACCTCGTTTATACCATCCGAATGTTTCATTTGACGCTTTTTAGTTGAGAGGGCTGTGAGTCTTCAGTTGAAAAATCCTCCAAGTTTCCTCCGATAAAAACCGAATTTATCGGGAAAATTCTGAATATTATCCTCCGAAATTTTCAGACAATTTTGTACGCAATTTAATCTAAGATATCTGAAAATTTAGAGGAAAAATATGCTCAAATTGCGTCAAAAATACATGTTTCATCGAGGGAAATTTGGCAACTCCCGAATGTTCATACAGCGTTCTTCCCTAGCACGGCAGAATACTGATGCATGGTGTTGCAAAGTTACAGCTTTTTCTAGTGCAAAAATGAATGAAAACGCTCCCAACTTTTCACTTGAAATACTGAAGAGCGCTCTCTATCATAAATTCGAACTCCATTCTTCCTCCTGCATAAACGGTCACTTTTTATTTACTTTTACATTCGTTAAAGTTTTTCCCCGTCTCAATGACTTGAAATCAAGATCACGGGAGCGGCAAGGTGATAAATTCACGCTCGTGTATGACACAAGCCCCAGACAAGCATTATACACGGGGTCTGGCGGAGGGGGGCCGGGGGGTTCGAGGGTAGGTGCTCGAACGACAGATTTATTTTTAGGAAAAGGAAGAGAACCAAAAAAAAAACACAAATACGCTTGCGCCGTTTCCCCAAACTTGGCGCTTAACGCGGTGATATACGGTCAATGGCTGACAGTTTTCAGGCGGGACATCGCGCTGCGCCGCTGGTTTCCTGAAAAAATTGACCTTTAAGAAAATTCAGTCCGTGAACAATTGCGATTCCAAGCATTCACCCGTCCCTTTTTCTTTGGCGCGTTGCTTGTAGAACGATGGTCTTTGATCAAAAGCCTTTAGTTCAAAAATTATAGATGCTTGAAGCTCCATGGATCTTCCTGAAGCTTAAAACTAAAAGATTATTCGAAAAAAGGCGCGTTTCCATCTCGTATTGCTGAGACTGTGCAATATCGCTGAGCTTTTAGTCCAATGAAAATCCACTTAACTCTGCATAGGCAATGTAGGATTACCTCGCAGAGTGCAGCAAATTTCTCGAGCATCGTGGACGTCCATACCGCAAATTACTATCAATAACATTTCCGCAATTTGCCCCATTTTGCAACACTGCCATGGTGCTACTACACTCAACCGAATCTCGAGGACTTAAAATGGTAAACACGATTGCAAATGCAACGTAGAAAATCCTTGAGAATAAACAATCGCTGCCATGCATTTTGCTGAAGAAAGCTAGCGCGCCTGCATTTAATGGTGTATGCAACACGGACATCCCGAGAACACGAATAGTTGCATCCAGACCTAATCATCGAAAAAACCCGAGTGCCTTCAATTTTTCTCGCTCGTGATAGGACAATGTGTCACGTCGTCGCATGAAAAGGGGGCGCTTTGAGTATTTAATAAAATCAACAAAAAAGAAATGAGTGACTCGAATTTAGAATGTTTTAGGGGGCAAGCATATGAATGAAAATTGAAGCCTCTAATAAATGAAAAATGGAAATTTAAGGAAAACGTCTCGGAAAAGGAAGAATTCCAGATGATACTACCTTTAGATACTCTGTAATCTCGCTGAAGATTTTGGCTCTTAGTTCTTAAAAAATAAAAAAAAAAACAAGCAAAATAATGTCTCATCCATTGACGTCAATTTTTTCCGTGTGTTTCAGGTGGTGCTAAAATCGGAACCCAAGCTTGAGAGGCATGGGAGAAGTAAACGAAGCTAAACCAGCTTGAAACGAGCAATCTCCCTTATATTGAGGGTGATTCGACGTTCATCATAGGGGTGTTAGCCTCCGCAATCTTGAAATCTCTCACCCCACAGAGTCACTCAAGAGACGAGTCAGTTTGCGATCCTGGACTTGACCAGAACGAACATCATCGCTGAGTTTTCAACATCGGAAAGTTCATCGCGAAGCCACGCGACGTAGTTCTCGATACTATCATAGTACCTTTAAACTTTCACCCGATCCCCGTTTACCTCGGAAGTGCACTTAGTGCTCACCCCGAAGTGAGCTTTGAGCGTATTTTTTACTCCGGATTACCGTTACCTCGAAATCCGAAAGCGTTCCTATAGTTAAGTTCGCGTAGTTCCTAATGTTTCGCAACGTGGTTCGCGTGATGTGATATCGGTTCCGGAGTCGCGCGTGACGCACGTGTCGGGGCCCGGTCCCGGCACTGCCGGGTTGTATGGAGTAGCGGTCGTCGCGGTGGACAATGGCGGCGACTGTGAACCACCACAACGACAAGTTCTCCGGCTCGGAGCCGCCGGAGGAGGACATCGCGGCCATCGCCAAGCAGATCTCGGACCACGCCGAGGCCATCTACCAGAACTGGAAGTCCTCCGGCCTGGCGCCCACCGAGATCCTCTCCTGCCACACGGAGAACAAGTTCTCCTCCGTCCTCACCCCGAAGCAAAGCCCCAAACCGCAACCGGTGAAGCGGAACCAATCCCCGGTCATGGAGCTCCTGGCCTCGGAGCCCACCCGACTCAACACCAACAACCTGGAGCAGTTCGTCAACAAGTTCGTCGTCGAGGACAAGGCCCGCATCGCAGCCGCGAAACAGAGATCGCCCTCGCCCATGAGGTCTCCGATCCGATCGCCGCTGTCATCGTCCATCCAGTTCGCTCTTCAGAAGTTCGAGCGGAACTGCGCGCAGCCGCCCGACTTCTCCTACCGCAAGTCACCCTCACCTGTGCGCAACGTCAATGGCAATGGCAATGGTAACGGGACGACGGCCAAGGACACTACCATTTCCAAGTACATCGTGGACCCGGTGACGTCCTTCCCGGAGCACCTCATCCCGACGACGGCGGCCCCGGCCATGTCCACGTGGCCGCTCAAGAAGCCGGCGCCGGGCTCCACGGCCAAGAAACCGTCGCCGACGCCGATGCCCGAGGCGGAGGTGGTCCGCGAGGAAGAGCGGCTCATCAACGCCCTCAAGACGGGGGTCATGGACACCGTCGACGATTCTAGTCCGAAACCGTACTCCTGCAAGCTAGTCAACGAGGAGAACAAGAACATGCTCCGGAATCGTGGTGTGGCCAACGGGGGCACGGCCAACGGGAACGGCACGACGAACGGTAACGGGGCGAAGGAGGTGACGGGGCTCTCGGCGCTGTCGGCGCGGCGGCTGAGGCCCAACGGCGGGTGGTCCAGCCGGGAGGTGCCCCACCCGGAGCTGAGCTCCCAGCAGAAGGCGAATATCCGGAGCGGCTCGGCGGCCAACCTCATCAACCCGGTGCGCCCCTTCCTCACCCGCGGGTCCGTCGCCGAGCGCGTCCTCATCTTCGAGAAGTGCCCCACCGAGCTCTGTCTGGACAAGCGGAAAACCACCGTCGGCTCCGTCGCCAATCGTGTTCAGGTGAGCGTTTTTCTGTCGCTTCTATCGCTTTGTTTCTATTCTGTGCGGTCTGTGCCAGAGGAAATCGTTACCTTCTAGTCAAAGTATCACAAACGCAGGGTGTCTACAAGTCCGGAAAGTCCGGAAATAGTACTGATTTTTCAAGGGCGATCTGGAAGCACTGATAAAGTGTGGAAATTTTGCAAAAAAGTCCGGAATTTTTTTCATTTTTGTCGCAATTTGAGCGGGAAATTCAAATTTTTGAAATTTTTCGAATTTCGTCAGTTGAAGGTATTTAAATATTACTGAATTTTTCTGTTGAGGAGGTACTGAATTTCTTGGGAATATACTGAAAGAGTACTGTGAAAGTACTGATTTTCGGCCTGCCTGTTTTAGTAGACACCCTGCTTCCAGTCAATTTATCACAAACGCCAGGCTACGTTTACGGATTTCCGCCGCCTTTTCATTTTTTTTACAGAGAAATTGTTCAACGAAGTTGTCCGAAAATGGGCCTGTTGCAAACTTTTGCTAGAGCAAAACTAAGAGTTGTTTCTTATAGATAATGCCTCAAAAATCACGATGAGCGCATCGGCAAACTCTGAAATGCACTCATAACTTCACAAACTGCGTAAGAAATTTGCGGTTTTTTGAGCTTCCCGCTTCAAAAACGATACTACGGCACAGGTGAACATTTTGTAAGAGGAGTCGTTCCTTCGTCGGCAATAATCATCATAGCCGACGCCAATCCGCCAAAACACGTTTGATGGGACGAGATAACACCTGAACTGGATTAGACCAGATAACAATCGGTGTGTTAACGTTCATATTTTCCACGCCCGAATTGATTGACCTTGAACTCTCCTTGAATTACGCGCGGAACTGCGTGCAAGCGTCGGCCATGATGAATATCGCCGACGATGGAGCGACTCCTCTAACAAAATGTTCACCTATGCCGTAGTATCGTTTTTGAAGCGGGAAGCTTAAAAAAACGCAAATTTCTTACGCAGATTGTAAAGTTATGAGTGCATTTCAGACTTTGCCGATGCGCTCATCGTGATTTTTGAGGCATTATCTATAAGAAACAACTCTTATTTTTGCTCTAGCAAAAGTTTGCAACAGGCCCATTCCCCTGAATTTTCTTTGTGCTGCCGATAAAATGCGGTGAAATTTTCAAACAGAATCAACCGACAATTTTTAAACGTCGCATGGCGCTTGTGATACTTTGACTGGAAGGTGACGACGATTTATTCTGGAGACCCCGCACTAGCAACCCTAATTTTATCCAGTGGGCAAAAGTAAAATTAGGAGCTTTAACGCAATTATCCGCCCACACGGTTAGATATTAATTCGAAATTTTGTTACAAAATAGGAAGTAGAATCTAAACGTCCGGTTAATATTTTTTGGTTAGTTTTTCTTTGGGTTACATCGACCAAATCTTCGGGTTGAAAATACAACCTCATCAAAAATGAGGCGCGAGTCATCAGGTTCAGTCCGAGATCGGACCAGGGAAAGTTCAAGTACATAAGTTCATCAGGACCTTCTTCTCATCTCAAGGTTTCTCATCGTAACCTCTAGTTTCAGTCAATTTAACCAAAAATTTGGTCGATAGACCAACCAAATCCTCTTGGTTGATCCAACCGAAAAGAAGTAACTGTATACGGCGTTTGGAAGCACAGTTTCAGTTTGTGTTTCCATTGTATCGAGAGACCTTGAGATTATTATTATTCATCCTGCATCATCTGAAAAGACAGGACATTTTGAAAAATTGGTTGGAGGAAAACTGGTAAAATCTGAAAACACCTTAAATAACTTAAAAAGTCAGTTTTTTGTTTAATTTTTTGCGCTTTATTAAATTCAGAGGAAAGATTATGTTTAACCCTTTATTGTATAGCGTTGCATGAAAGCAACAAATGGTTTTCAGCTTTATTTCTGTGCTGGAGTATTAAATTGAATCGAAGCAAGAAATGAGTGGTAAGGAACATTTTAAGTCTGATCTCTTTACTTTAAAAAAACCCATAAAAATCGATTCTAACCGACTCTAATGTCGAAAAAATACTGTACAATGCGAATTTTCCCTCCAAAATCAACGAGTAGCTTATGCAACAAAGGGTTAAAAATCGATTCGAGTTGTGTTACCAGTAGTCATACCGCATGATTTCCTCAAAACACTGTGTCCGAAGAACACAACGATCTTAGAAGTATCAGAAGAAGCAGTTTATAGAAGGAGAGCGAGACCGGAAACCATAAAACTCCTCTAAATCGTCGCAGCTTACAAACAAAACCAGGATTTAAAGAGGGAACGACGTGCCGTGTCGTCGTCGCCGACAGAGGTGCATGAATAGATCGTCGCTCGGCTGTTAAAAGAGCGTAACTACACTTGGAAATGAGCCCTAGAAAGCATTGAATTACATGGACGACAGGGTTCATCGGGAAGTGTAGTTGAGTCTTTTTGTCATGTGGGCGACGAATAGATGAGGAAACAGACATAAATTCGAGTCGAGTTGCCAGTTATCCGCGTTCGAAACCACGTGGGTTTGTCACTACTCGCAAGGCAGAATCGGAACCGATCTTTTCAGCAACGTATCAAAATTATTTCGCACCTAATTTCAGGCCTTGGGTTCAGGCGGTGGGAGCTTTTCTCAATGTCTGAAACTCGTCTTGAAAGACTTCCGTCGAGAAATGTTGATGTTGTTATTGCTATTTCCGCAATAATCCAAGTTTCCATGGCAAATAGTGAATGTAGTGGCGTAGCCAGACATCGCACAAGACTCCGGATGTAGAACGGGGGTCCAACGGTGAAACATCCTCGAAAATCGTGGAAAATCGCGTTTTTTCGGGAAATTTTGTTTGCGCGACTTCTATGAATTCCCGAAATTGCTTATGCTCCTCACTCTTTCAATAATCGCGAGATGAATGGATATGGATAACTATTCGCGCTTTTAGATTTTTGGTATTTTGAGAGCACTATGAGCTCCAAGATGAGTGATTTGGCGTTTTGTCAGTGCAGTTTCCTCGTGAAATATTTGGCACTAGTGACAGTAAAGTGTAGTCGAATTACCTTGCCGATGAAAAACAACTTAAGAGCGACCAAGCTTTGCCTTTTTTTAGATAAAATCTTAATTTTCGAGAAAATATTTTTCCGTGAAATTTCTTGACGGGGTAACATTTTTTCTTGAAGTTTCCAGACAGGGTGACAAGTTCTTGAAGTTGAAGAAACCTTGGAAAAATTAGGGAAGTTTGCCCAATCTTTCAAAATCACGGAAAAGACAAGAAATTTTGCGGGCGGAATTCCGATTTTTTTCCTATTGGAAAACTGTTTCTAAAGACTTCAAGCTTACAAATTTTGGGTCCCCAGAAAAATTAATTTAAAAAATTGGGGAAAAGTAAGATAATTTTACATTCAAAAACTCTCGAAAGTCACGAACAAGTCAGAGATTTCTGGTGTCCAAGATAACGTGTCACCCCGGTAGATCCTCTTGCATGAAACACAACTAAAATGCTCTGCTTTAAAAGACCTACTCGGTACAATGTTTACAAGTTTTCCCGAAAATTGTGTAGTTTCTGAGAATTCCGACAACGTTCGATTGCTCATCGGGCATGTTCCTCGGAACGACGATGCAGGAACCTCTTGGAGCCCCCGAAAGCCAGAAAGGTGGTTCGCCTCCTCCGAAACGCTTTTCGCTCTGCGTCGGGAATTCTTGGCCGCCAACCAACCCCTCCCCCTCCTTCCCCCCTCGTTGGACAGCGGCGGCAGTACGTGCCGCGCTTAGGAGAAACCGCGGATTCGCGCAGGGTTTCAAATCCGAGTTACGCGGTTCTGCCCGAGCACGACAGGCGGTTTACGGTTGAAGGACCTGCACAATTCGACTCGTATCACCGACATGGCTGTGGAATATATTCGCGCTCTCATTTCGAGTTCATGACATCGTAATGGGTCAGGTGCGCTAGTCACGGAATCGCGTTTTGATGGTTTAAACTTGCAGATCAGGAAAAAATCAGGAAAAAATCAGGAAAAAAATGAGATCCGACCAAACGCCTAATTTGTGCGTACACTATTAACAGAGATAGCGCCCCTCGAAAAATACCTTGTACGACGTCATCCACGATGATAGTGCATACACTGGGAAAAAAGTTACGGGCTGTATACTTAGACGTACCATCCGTTCCGTGCTGAGAGGCCGAAAGTTCCGGGCGCTGGAGCCATCTTCGATCAAAATATGACGTAGACACGACAAGACAAATGTTTTTAGCGTAAGAATAGTCGTTAAACTACCCTTAAATTACTTAACATTAAGCCTTAAGGAAGAAGAAAATGTCAAGCCCCTTTTCCTCAAAACTCAATGCGCATCCGTCAAACTCGGCCCATGTGAAGTTTTTCCCTCCAGCAGCGAAGACGTGCGGCGAGCGATTTATCGATTGATCTGCCATGTAAACATATGGAAAAGGATCGAGAAACAAGGTGACCTGAATAATCGATTCTGTACCGCAGTTTCAAATAGAGATGTATCGAAAATCGATCATTCACGCCTCGCCACTGTCCGTCATTGACGGGCGGCCTACGGAGGAGACGAAAAAGGTCCTCGTTGGAGCTTTGCCTCGGCGGCGAACCCATTGCCGCGTGCCTGCACGCCGAGCGAGTTGCATAACCGCGCTTCAAACGGAGCTCGCCTCGTCCGACCAAGACGACAACAATAAAATTAACAGCCGTTCACCGACCGACCGGCTCTCATTGTCGCCCAGGCCGAGAGCCTTTTTCAGCGGCCTATTCCGCGGGGGTCCCCGTTGGGNGGGGGGGGGGGGGGGGGGTTCGCTCCGTCCCGCCGTGGAGTAAAACGGTTTGCTCGCCCGCGCACAAAGGCACCCACGATCCGGTGCCTCTCCAGGGATGCCGTCTTTTGGACTTAATTGAAATCTTTGAACGTGATGAATGAACGCGCGGGCAAGGTTAGAGGTCGAACAACCGCATGGAGAAAAAAACTTCGTGCTCGGGACCCGAAGATGAGGCCATATGGATTGTATA